ATGCATATGCATATAGTACCCCAATTGGAGGTAGCCTACTAGCAATACCAATATCAATAATTAGTATTACCTCATTCCTAGGATGTAGTTTTTAACTTCTTTTACATTTAATTAGTTGCATGGATTCAAACAAACACCATACTCCTTATTAGTTGCATGCATTAGCGTAGTTCTCCGGCTGTCGTGGCAGTGTACAGCCCCCAGAGCCATATTAGTACATGAATTTATCTAGCACTATCGACCTTGTATTTGTGGTGCGTGGAAGTGGCTGCGAGTAAGTTCGCGCTCTCGACTCGCTTTCCATATAGGGAGGGCTCAAACGATTACCCAATGAGCATTATCATACCTAGAAGTCTCACCTCGGAAAACTATGAGTCATAATGATAATCTCTGACTCATTCATTCCCAATCTAGTTCTCGAAGTTTGCGAATTGATCAACAAGAATTGGGCGAACCAAACAACGTACCATATCCTAGTTGTAAATGTACAATTCTTCTCAAGCCGAGAAAAAAACAAGGGAAATGCCACAGTCCAAAATTGGTGCCAATGTTCACTTAAGCGGCATATCCAACCATGTGCAAATCATATTTATTAGAAGAGAATATGAAAAATTGTCCGTAGGGACAATGAGTATTTCACCCTACGGGAGGTGAGGCTGACGTTTATCCGGAATGTTAACTCCTAAGCTTTGCGTGGCTACACTAGCTCACTCGATGCACTACTATCGACACTACCACGCTGTGATAGATTAGGAGCCAACCGCCTGGCAATAAGAGGTTGGATATCACTAGGTTTATATGCGGGGATCACGAAGTCGGAGTCTATCCATACCACAATTCCAGTACGTACTAGCGTGGATCGAAGTCTCCCTTAACGATATTTTGCTTCATTCGTAATAATCAGCCGGCTTTTTGTATCGATTAGATCGACGGTAAACAAATCCACCCTCCAAGCGGTCCTGCATGATAAGTCCAATTGCCCCTTCTTCGTCCTGTATTGCTTTCCCTTCACTCCAGTCGACGTCGTCTACATAATCCTTGCGAAAATTGCAGAGCGCAAAGTCAATCATGACCACCTTGTATCCACTTTCCGCCCGCGTGTCCTTTTTCACGATAAAGCTTCTCGTGTTGACATCCTCGTTTAATATCCCATGATCGCCTATCCGATGAAGGATTTGAATAGCTTCTTCGCAAATGCTTTGCCAGCACTCTCTTGGTGTGTGATCGGCAATATCGGTTAATGGAAATCCTTCAATATACTGTAAAAGGATTCCAGAAACATCGATATATTGACTGGCTGGCTCCATTTCCACCAAGCTACAGCCTGGAATTGTGACGCAGGCAAGTAGTTGAGGGATATCATTTCCTTGCATATCCCTTAAGGTGTCATATACCTGAACCTCTGTCTCATAGAGATCGGATAAATGATCATAAAGATAGGCTTCGTCCTGGGAGCTATTCCATGTTTCGCCTTGCTGTGCTATGTCACCGTTGTTGTTGAGCTCAGTGATAAATTGAGATGCACCACCATCAAGGACGAATTGATGATAATCCCTCTCAATGTCTGAAGTCCAGGGACGAAGTTTTTCATCTTTTCGGAGCTGTGTCGCAAAGCGTCGATCAAAAAGCTTTAATACCATATCGCCTTCTAATGCCAAACCAGAACAGGCTATGCGAACAACCATCACGGAGGAAAGGGTGAACGGTTCGAATAACTTGATGATTCTGGCATCGGTTGAAAGCTCATTGTCTTTCATTTTGAGGTGTAGTTTGATCGTATTGCCGACCACATAAGGACATCTAGAATAATCAGTATATCTCTCTAAGACTCCGTAAGCAGGCCCACCTACTGGTTTTCTTGCCGATCCATTATGATCGGGGGTTAGGATCACAACCCGTATTCTGTAGAAAGAGAGGCTCAATAAAATCCCATGTCTCGAGGTATTGCACAAAAATCTTGGAGGCAATTGTCATTCAGGTGAGACGAAGAGTTTTGAGAGTGTAGTTGAAGTCGATTTGGCAATAATATTGGGCGGTGGCGGTGTGATAGGGATCCGCAGCACCAGTGGAGAAGAGCGCGTGTTGAACCCCACCAGGTTTACTCATTTATCTTGTGCTACGATCTACTATCCAAGCACTGCGTGTGAGTGTAATCAAAATACGGTAATACTTCCCGGTAACCTCTTAGGTGATAATTACTGCTTGCTCTAAGCTTATCCTCAGCTGTCTCCTTGCCTCGCCAGGCCTTGCTCCTGACTCAGTGGTATTTTGGATGCTTGTAAGGGGTATCGGTATCGGATAGAGACACCGGCCAACTTAGTCACTGAGAGATTCTTAGATCACTAAGTGAGCTCCTAAGACCGCCAGAGGTTTGTTGCTATCTTCGAACTGTGAACCATACTGAACGTGGGTACCAAGTAGGCGCTCGTTGTCCTGCATATGACCCCTGGATCCCTGCTAGCGCGTTGTGCCGGCCTTGTGAAAGAGGGGTACCACGTAGATAGGCACACTTCGTTTAATAATCTGTATTGTCTATTTTTGACTGGGCATGGTCCACGGGTAGCTTCGCTGATTACCTCATGCTTTGTTTTGGGCCTTATGCAGAGTACAGCCACTCATAATCAGCAAATAAACGCCAAATGCATTTTTTGGCACCGCTGATCCAACAACCTCTATGACTGATCTGCTCCGGTACAAATTATCAGCGCTAAATATAGGTTTTTATGGCCCCCACAGACAGAACTGCCCAATGGCAAATGCCTTGACCCCTAGGGGCGCGTACTTGCATATCGAAGGATCTAATCACACAAGAACCCAGAGAACGTGATTGTTTGATTTCGGCCGTTGAAACGCATTGCAAAAAAGGACTTGCATTTGAAAAGTCTTCTTGTTCAGGCATAAATACTCGAGGATTTCGCATGCTTTTGGCGTTTTCGTGTGTTTTGGTTAATATTGATTCAACGCCTATCTCGCCTCAGATCTCTATTTCCACGAAGAAAACAGCCCCCTTTCAAGCTTGCTCCCTCTCAATCGTTCATATCCAAACAAAGTTACAAAAGAGGCTACAGTTGCCGTGTGGCCTCAATTGAACAGTTGAACTTGCCCTCGAATTTGTCGAATTTGTGTGTTATTCAACGGGTATATACTAGAATACTCTATAAAGAGCACCACGAAACAAAATGGTTCGCTATCTATAAATCAAGGATTTGCACTTGGTTGTTAACTTCGCCCTCAGGGAAAGAGCAGTGGTCCCAAGAATAAGGCCACCGTGCAGGACTACACCGAGCATATCGAGTATGGAAACCTGCGATGTTACTGGGACCCGGCAGGGGAGTGGCAAAGGGCCCATGGAGATAATAAGTCAACCAGTGGCGGAAAGTTTTACCTTGAATGTATGAAGACTTCTGGTGAAGAGCCAGTCTTTCGTGTCAGAGTTATGCAAGGGCGCATCGTTGCCCTTGGGCCACTTGACCTGTCCAACAAGACCCAGCCAAGTGATGATGAGATAGTTAAAGTGCTGAAGGCCATGGCAGCTTGAACGCAAATCGGACCTTACCCTTCACGCTACCTGCCCAGATGGCTGCTTCTATCCTGCCGCATAAGTTCTGACATGGACCTCCGTAATAGAAAATAAGCTAGAGTGAGTCAAAGTAAAAAGAATTGGCTAAGGCGTATACTAGTCCTACCAAAAATAACGTAGGGAGCGGAGCTCGGAATCCGGATGAAATGAGAAAAAGCCTCACCAGATCAGCCTTAAGAAGGACAAATGAGGGTAAGAAATAACGAGCATACGGTGGGGACTGGGAGGACGCTGGGTACAGACGATAATATACTAAAACTAAGCCGATCCTTCATCCAATATCCGATATGATGTAATCTAGGGCGACAGCGGAAAGACCACGGTTGTGCGTGGTGTTTGGGAGGTTACTCGTGGTGTTTCCCTCTAGGCAGTTTTATAGATCTCATTAGGCCCAATATGGCGAGAACTAGTGTATTATTATCCCGATGCTAGCTGCAATTTAAAACACCGGCGGCTTCAACATCGCCTAATGGGCGAGTATTTTGAAGTTCGACGTTTGCTATGGTCATTCCCGCGCTTGTAGGTTGCTTTATCAAGCTTGGGTAGTTCTTAAATATGGACTTAAGCGAAATATCGAAAATTGATGGCCCGTACTTGGTTGTACGATTGAAACAGCCGAGAAGATGGTGAAGGGTGCTTTGCCCATATCCGTCAGCTGCTAATAGGTCTGCACCCCGCACTATAACTCGAGAAAAGTCAGGCCCGTATAGACCACGGTGCCACTCGAATTTCTTCCATGGATTATCCGGTTGTGGGAATCGGATATCATAGATGCTGAGAAACTCTATATAGCCACATCTCTAATCAATCAGTGCCTTGGTCGATGATCTCCAGTAGCCATTTGCATTTGAGAAGATGAGATCATGGAGGTTTTCGGGTAAACCTCTCTGTTCCACAGACCCTAGCTCAAAGCTCGAACTACAACGGATGTACTTGAAAGCACCGCATATTTCATCTAATTGTTGAAGAAAATTACTTGAAAAACCTCGAAGACAAAGAAACTGAAACGCCTTGTCTATCGAAGAAATTGAGGTCAATAACAGACGGGGCGCAGCTAAGATATTTACATTGACGCGCTTTCTATACTCAAGTCACCGTTTATTTGGGTCTGATTATTCTATTTTAAGACAAAGGTTGCAAAGTTTCATGAACGTTTCAAGTCTATAATAGAGCCCTAATTAAGCTGGTCTTATGAAAAACTAGCCCCTAATTGTTCTTGACAAAGAACTTGGGCATCTGGAGTCCACTAGCACAATGGTATTTACACTTAGTATCGAGTGCTTTCAACAAGGAACTAGCTTATAACATCTGCGCATGTACGATCAAATCATTTCCTTGTAGTATTTTCAAATATCACGCACAGCATCCAACAAGCACAGTATCCAACAAAAATTATTCAAATTCAACAGCTAGTATCAAAATGGAAGTGGAAGGAGTCGCTACCGCAAATCTGTCATGGGACCTTTCAAAGGGACCTGTGCCCCCTCCCCTCCAAAACAAACTCGTTGATCACTGTCTGTTAGAGCTTTTGCAGTACGCTAACGGGTCTAACCACGCTATTCTCAGGCTAGTTTTTAAACACCCACAAGTGGGAGCATCTTCGCGCGCACCTGCTAATACTCAGGGTGTTAGGATGGAGCTCGAAGTGCAAGATGAAGCCGGAACAGGTCCAGTGGAAGGTCAGCTAGTTGTTAAGACTTTTACTTACACAGGAACACATAGAAATGCCGCTGTTTCTCATATGTTACCCGTTAAGGGCCAAAAGGCTGTTAGACACTTTATTAACATTGCTCAGAAGGTTAAGTTGACTCCCTGTGACTTTAACTCACTGAATTCGGATACTGTCGGATGTAGAGACTTTTTGTAAGTCTCTTTCAAAAAGATTTATTCTGGGTATATGCTAACAATCTCGATAGATCGCAGTTCATCTACCACTTAGATCGCGGCAATGTTCTCAAGCTTCCAAACGATAAGGCCACTAGTGTGTATGACCTTTTCAATTGGAAGTACAGTCTGAGCGGTGCAACGAGGGTTCCCACAGTTATATATTATGCTGCTTTTAATCAAAACTACCAACATGTCAACATCCCTGGATGTGTTTACCCTGCAGCCGCTGGAGCTGGAGCTGCTGGTGCTGCTGGAGGGGCTAAATGGGCTAAAGGGGCTGGAGCAGCAGGGCAATGAAACAGGTTCTTTGAGTGTATAGTCAATAACGACAGGAAAGACATTACAATTATTCCAGTTAATATTATCGAACAAACAATCCAGCTGGAATCTCACTAGGAGTGATCGTTATTGGATTAGTTGTATTGAAGAAAACTAAAGACGCGTCTAGTAGCGTAGTGGATATTCCTCGTAGGTAGCCTGTTCTTCGCCCAACCGCCTATCCACATTTGTAACATTCTTTTGAACGCTCTGGGCACTTGTTTTAGAATCTGGGAACGCTGCCCGAGTCTGCTGAACGTTGCCAGCGCGGGAACCGAGGACACCTAGTGTTGTTGCGGCCAACATAGAAGAAATATCAGTGCTACCATCCTTTGCTAGTACACAGTGCTCCCCTAGATCACGGAGTGCCTTGTCGATCTGCTCTGCTGCGCCAGATGCATGAAAGATACGCGCGATGATTGCATGAACCTTGAGAAGCTCGGGGCGCGGAAGATCGTATCTTTGGTCATACCAATTGAATTGAACGGTTCGAGGGAGGTGTAGTCGTAGTCGTGGGCGGTAGTTTTGAATGCGGTATTTGTGGAGCTGGGAGGTCTCTTCGAACGAAAAATCAAACCGGCCAAAGGACCGATGCAGCTCACTCGACATAGTCATCGCATTGGTAGTATCGTTGATGTTCTCCCGGTTAAAGTTTATCGCCTGGATAGTTGGAAAATGGCGGATAAGGTTTGTCCAGATGATGTCTTTTGCATAGCCTTCAGACTCCGTGCTCCACGATGCAAGGGAAAACGGGATGATGTGCACGCAGTCTGTGTATGTTGAGGGGCTGTTGTTGCTTGTATCAAGAGAATCTTCATCGAAAAGTCCAGTCACAACACATCTGCTGCCATCACGGGCAAGGCACTCTGTCTTGAGGCGAGCTTCTCTTCGCATAGGCCCGGCCGACTCGGAAGCGACATTTTCAATGGAGTCCTCCATTCCGAGATGCGGGGAAATACTTGGGGTCGAGCGCAGCGATCTTAATGGTGCCACTAGGCCGTCGATCAATGACTGAGCATGATCATGCAGTTGTTGGTTAGTCTGAAGTGACTGGAGATGATGGAGGAAATTGACCCTCCCATTTTCCGGAAGGTAGGCGTAGAATGCTCGTAATATCGGAACTGTCTTATCCTTGGGGCCGACGGGCTGGTATGTATCAACTTTCTCCATATTGGTAGCGAATCATTCGACAGCAGATATTGTCAGAGAGAAAGATGCGCTTGAAGAGGGAGACGCGATCGTTCGGAGCTTATCTAGGTAAAGAGTAGATCTTCTTATCTTGGTTTAGCTCCCGCTCCAGCTTCCTGCCGCAGACGATTTGGGCCAACTTTGAAATTGCTTATTAATACATATATAAGATTCACCGCTATAGTTTCCGCCTTTTGTACTCCGTACCTGTCGGCCTATAGGTCGTTTAGCTTGGTGATCCGGATTAATGACAAGAATGGCTCACCTACAGAGTACACTAAACATAAATAGTCAAAACTGAAACAAGCTCTTCATCCAATTATCCGATATGGTGTAGTGGCTAACATCGCCGTCTCTCACACGGCAGCCGGGGGTTCGATTCCCCCTATCGGAGTCTAGAATTCTCTTTTTTTTTTGTGTTTACATATATATATATATATGCAACATCAACTTTTTATTTTGTTGCGGCCTCATCATGTTTAATGCTGGATAAATCTTGTCAAGGTGGTGATTTCCTAAGGTTACGTTAAGAAATGCAAACTTTTTACTCCAGGAAACATTAGGATAACCAAATATATTTCCTGTTTTTCGCAAATTATTGTGTAATATTATTGGAATGGCTAAAGATGAGGTTTCCCTCATTAGGATCACCGTGATGGTATAACTTCCTCTCATCTCCGGTCAGCCTGTAGCATCAAAGTTTCTCGAACCTGAGGAGTAGCTATCTAACTTGCCTTAGGAATCTTTCACATGCCCGGCATAAAGAGAGTCTAGTGGATTATGCACTGACTTTAGGTAGATAAACCTCAATGTGATCAATTTGGAAGGCTATAAGACTGCAGAAAGAGCCATAAAAAGACCATACTTTTAGAGTCCAACATAGATAGCTAGACAGTGATAAAATCCCGGAAAGGTTTGATGTGAAATCTCAGTAAGAAGCATAGTAATTGCCCCTTTCAAAGAGAGAGAGGCAATTTCCGAGATTGGGGGTCTTCCAACATGTGATTATACCCGCCTGATACACAGGGAAAAAGCAAAAAGGGGCTCTGAAAACGCAAAGTTTGACAAGCGAGGAGAACAATTTAGAATCTTTTGGTTGGAAACTGTCGTTTGTGGCATGAGTCGAATAATTAATTTGAATAACCCGACGTGTCCTGCTTAGACGTGGAAGCAAGATTCTCACTTTCCTAATCTGATGGGCGGTTGATGCTCCATGCGAGTGCGTAGGGCTGCGGATACACCCGTTTGAAGATGTGATACGCACGCACGATGATTTTGACATTCCCATAAGGAATGTTCTTCCACTCAACTTGTTCCACATTGTTGCTCCGATCGAATCCAGGCTTGTCACCCATGTTACCATGTTTTTCAGTACCATCCGAACTAACCACAATGAGGTCCAGATCATTTTGAAGGGTTGCCCCTGGATAATCTGTCCAGACTAAAGACACCTTCAGTACTCCGTTGGAATGAGTGCTGCTAGCTGATCTTCCCTGGGCCCTCAGAAGATCTTCCTCATTTGGGATGTTTATCACGGTCTCCTCGCTCGAACCTTGTGCAAGTGGTCCTCCCTCACGGTATCCAGAATCAGCTTGGCTTGGCAAGATCACAGATTTGGACAAATTCACTCGACCGAAGCCGCTGTTACTGTTCGGAGATGGACCAGATTCGCTTGGAACATACTGTCCAGGTAGTTCAACTGCTCCGTTGATCAGCAATGCTTTGAGAAGAGCTGCACTTGGCTTCTGTGCTCCATTCTTGATGAGAGTTTCTCTCAGGACAGCAATGCATCCCGCCACTAGAGGAGTCGCCATGCTAGTGCCGGCTAGGAACCACCACCCGGAATCCTGACTTGTACCATAGCTGGTCTCAGCGTTAACCAAGTTTCTAGACCTGGCTGATAATATCGCTGTTCCAGGTGCAACAACATCAGGCTTAATGCGAGATTCCAAGGTAGGTCCACGGCTGCTGAAGGCTGCCATGCCTCCGGGATTGTCTGCCATCAGATCTTTGCCAATCGGATCGCTTGGCCATCGGCGACCATATGTAATGGGAATATCCGGACGGTAATTCTCGCTTGCTCCAACGGTAATGCAGTTCTTTGCAGCTGCCTCAGCACCGATCTGCTTTGGATCAACGATACCATTCCAATCCGCGTCGATTCCATCATTTCCAGCAGCGAATAGTACCACCATGTCCTGATGGTCCCAGACAAACTGGTCAATTTCATTGCCTGGGGGATCATATGGCAACTGTCTAGAGGCAGAAGACCCCCATGAGTTGGTATGGATTCGAGCGCCGTCTTTTTCATATGGGGGAGAAAAAAGCAGATTTAAGTCGGATGGGATTCCACCCAGTCCGTTACCTCGGTCAAGAAGAGACTGCACCACCAGGCTAGCCTTTGGTGCTGCGCCACTAATCCTTCCTCCCATTGTTGAGGAAAACCCATCTCCAAGAACAGATCCACAAACATGTGTTCCATGGCCATCTGGGTCATCTGACTTTCCAGAGCGTTTCCCTAAGGCATAAAGCTGATTGACTCGATTCGAAAAGGCAGGATGAGTATCAACAGTAGAGCCTTTATCGAACCCTGTATCTGCAACAGCTACCACCTGTCCTTCGCCTTCGTACTGAGTACCATTAATCTGGAAAGGGGACCCGAGAATCTCTATTGCCCGATTATTGAACAGTCGCGCCGGATAAACTGGATGGATGCTCTTGACAGAGTCGAGGGTAGCCAGTCCCTCTAAGTATTGATTTTGAACACTGAGTCGAATCTTTGAAGACCCAGTATCCAATGTGTCAGGGTCGGCATGCGCAGCTGCAGCAATTTCCCAGGCAGTACGTGCAGACCTAGGATCAACATCTTTATGAAGAAGGAGGTCGACTGTGTGAGAGATACGGTTTTTCGGTACGGTAGGGAGTGACGACAGCGTTGTAGTTTCAGCGGGGGATTTCAAGCTGGACTGAATAACAAACATTTCTAGATAGACGTTGACCCAGGAGATATATGAGAGGCGGCGGATAGCTTCCAGGTCGGTGCCCTTGAAACCGCACAGGTAGGTATTCTTGGAAACATATTGTTGGATATCAACGCCTAGCTGTTCAATTTCCTCTTCCTGCTCACTTGACAGTGGCTCGGCTGACTGCACCAGGATATAGTCTGATCTTTTGGCATCCTCGGAATCGAGGTGCAAAGCCCGAAGCACTGGGAGTTGTGCTTGGGGATCCAAATTGTTTCCATTGATTGATATGATGGTCATTCTGGTAAAGTTTGGGGAGTTGTTTTTTGAAACGGCGGGAAACAAATGTAATAAACACTAAAGCTGAGGGACTTCAAGTGAAGTAGAAGTTCAATGAGGCTGCGTAGAGTTCTACGACAAGGCCTTGGAGGTGAAACTAAGCAAAAGGTATCTAGTGAAGAGCTTGAGATATAATTGGTTTGTAGACCAAGAGAGAGTATGATCGTTAATGGAACTCGAGATTTTCAATTTGATCACTCTTCTAAGCTGATTTATATAGTCAGACTAGTCAGTCCTCAGGATGGGAATGGGGCGAGTAATTGTGCAGACTATTTCATCACCAGTTCATGTTCGTAAGGTATCCGAGGACTGAAAGGTGTGATCGTGTTGAAGAAACACATACATATGGTTATTTGCGCTTGGCAGTATCCAAAGAATGATATCTAGCTGCATTTTGATTGAATCATCGAATAATCTAGACTTGTGAGACAAACATGCCCTCTGGTTGCTTTGTGCTTGGCAGCATCCAAAGCATGATACCTAGCTGCATTAGGATCGAATGATCTGGGCTTGTCAGACAAACCTGTACTTTCTTGAAGTAGGTTCCAAGATTTAACCAATATTAGCTTTGGTAAATGAATTTAATTTTTCATTCTTTGGGAGGCGACCATGGCGATTCAAAAATAACGGGCAGCACTAGGGGGAGATTTATAGTAGCTGTGAACTCGTGGGTAGGTTTAGATGAAGCGAAAATAATAGAGGAGACATTATTACACAAGTAGACCAGATCGAGGCTACTACGAAATTTTAAATCAAAACATAGGAGTAAGCATATACGCCAATCTGTATCGAGAACTAGTATTTCGTATTTATAGTATCTAAGAGCTACCAATGGCCCATCGTTAAACAGATATCGAAAATTGCTTATTCTTTTATCAATGGTCGGAGCTCTGTGCCGCTTACTGGCATCCATGTTGTGATTGTGAACCCCACATCATCACAATACTGTACTAATACTGGGTGCTACCAAGTCCTTTATGGTTACCAAGATAGCTGGTTATCCGGTACGATTGGTATAGCCTGAGTGAATTAAAATTGGTATCTTCTGCACTGGGAGTGTCTACTTCTACAACAAACATAGCCCGTGACATTTCTATGCCAAGAATGAAATAAAGTTTAATTCAATCTATAGGACGGGTCTTCTTGGCATGGGACGCTTGTTATCCGCAAACGGCACCCGTCTACCCAAAAGCGGCCTCGACCATGGAGAGCTCCGCCAGCCATGAGGGATCACACGCGGAAAAAAAACTGAAGCTGTTGCTAGCACTAGTACCGCTCTTGCTTTGATTGAATATGTATGTGATGGAAAACTCTACGTTTGCACATCTTCTACGCCCCAAGCCATCGCCACATGATTGATTTGGCTCCATGGGTTTATCGTTCTATTGCCCAGAGCAAGATAAAACACGCAGGACGGATCAACGTGGATATAGAATCCCCCGTGTCATCATTAGTCTGTAATCCGCTGTTGCTGCATTAGTAGAATCCGTTGTGCCCTCCGTTTATCTGATCACCACAAGCGTGCGTGTTGGTGCGCAAATATCGTTATACTTCTATATAGATACTGGCAAGGACATGATAGATTGGGGGCTTACGGCGTTACCAAGCAATGCTTAAGGCATTATACATGGAGTTACGTGACTAGCACGTTCATAATTGTTGGGACTTAAGGATGCTCTGCTAAGTTGGCTCTACGCAATATCTGGAAGGATTATGAGTAATCCGTGCTAGCTAGGCACTTCTATCGTGAAAAGGATTTAAGTTTTCTGCCATCACCCAGGTTTAAAAATTTCAGAATGGAATAAGGCTTCCCTAGGCCATAAACAGAAACCTTGGTTTTTGTTATGGTCTAGTGGTAAAATACGCCGTATTTTACCCCACATCTATCCAAAGTGTTTTAGCGTTGTCTTTATGTTTATCTAACTGGTTGTATGGTTAACGAAGTAATATTTGGGGCTATTGGATATACAGTGCATTGGCCTTGGATTGAAAAACTTCAATGTACAGATTTTATTACAACAGTGCGCACATCATTTCTAACTGATTTGAAAAAAGAAAGAAAGAAATTAATTTGTAACTTAAGAGCACATATACGCGCGGTTGCATTTATAGACATTGTGTATAGCTTCAATTTGACAAATATAAGACACTATTGAAGAGTCATTATCCGGCAATAGGCATGTAGGCCCACATCTATACTAACCTTGATTGGGGTTTGTATGATTAAACCGCATGAACATTTCCCATTTCCTCGTCTATTTGGCGTCTCTTTCCACTCGCTTCATTGGTCACTGTGGTTTCACTTGAAGAACCATTCATATCTGTAGCGGCGACAGAGTTGTGATTTTTCTTTCCGACTGTATATGTATCGGGTTGATTCCCGTCAATTATCTGCTGGGCAGAGGTGTACGCTCGGAAAGCTTCTTGCAAATGAGACGAAATACCGTCATTAGAAGTTTGGGTATTGCCATATCTCAGTAAGATTGTTCTTTCTTGGATAATGTCCAAAACCTTAGCAATCTCGATCGAATTTCTCCTTAGTCGCTCAGGAAGCCCTCTTCCTTTAAGTAGAGCTAACAACCCAGCAATAGAGGTATTTAAAGCCCCTAGAATTGTGATTGCTAGCACATGTTCACCGGCTGAAGGTCCTAATGCCGTAATGGCTGCACCGAGTATTATTTGCGTGATTGCAATCAAGTTGAAAACAATGCTGATAAGCTGATATTGGAATCTCTCTTCTTTTCCCTTGCGAGTCAGCTTCCTTCGTAGTTGACTTGTTGCGGCTTCGTAGGTTAAATATATCTGAGACTCATCGGAAGAGTCTATTGGGGTTTGTTGGTGATATTCAGGCATTTTAATTGTTGGCTTTCAAAGAGAGAGGTTTGAAGAAATTATATTGAAGCGTTAGGAATTTTCAAATCGTTTTCTTATAGCCAAGCCTTAGCATCTCATTGACGTCAATCTTCCCTTCTCTTTGTCCTTCAATTACTGAAAGTCCGCTAAGCTCCATGATGTAGATTAGCGCTTGCAGTTTTAATTTTAAGTTTTAATTTGCATGGTTATGAAAAATCTTGACTTGATCAGACTAGGCCGAAAGTTAAAAGCTTAAATTATACTGTCAAGGTCGAGACCTCTTGGCACCTGTTCTATGGAGGCCGATTCTACAGCCTAGATTAGCCCTCATACCATATCTTCGCCTTCTACGGATGAACTATTACTGGCTGTAACTTGTGATTGAAGATCAGCTGGCAAAATAGAGCAAATAAACTGTAAGTAGTGCGGATGTGTTTTCCATGACACGTCATAAGCTGGGTCTGGACCCACGGGCTACGGGCTGCGGGCTCTAGTTAGCCGGGGTACCGATCGCTCAGGAACCAATCCTCGCAAAAGAAACTTAATACTACTTGATTTTCCCCCAAGAGGGAGGAGACCCCTAGGTCATTCTACTAGGCCGGATTCGGAGGATATTGTGGGGATTGGCCAACCTAGTCTGAGTTTAAACCTTGAAGATATTTTGTTTTGCCAAGCGTAATAATATACAGCAAATCTTAGTGTTGACCCTAGGAAACCAGGATAGAATACCAATTCATCATTACTATGCCGAAACCAGCTAATATGTTGAACAAAGGCTAGATTTATTATTCAACCATCGTTATTTTAGGTATGTGATATCATCGTGCCCATATTTAATGCACCTGATTTGTCTTTTCCGGGTAGACTGCTGCCTCGAGCTGTTCTAGATTTCTATGATACTAATTTCTATTCGTGTAAGACAAAGTTGAAAGGTTTTGTGGCGCAATTTGCTCCAAAATCATAATGGCTACATCATATCGGTTACCAACAGACATCACTTCAAGTGCAACAGTGAAATTTTCCAAGGTCAACCTATAAATATTGGCTCAACCATCGATCCTTTTTTTTTTTACAAACTAAGACAAAAGATTTTCTTAGCAACAATTTAGTAAGATGAATGCCACCAGAAACCTTCATATCCAGATCACCACGACCTGCGATAAGGACACCTATCTTTTGGGCGAATGCTTGGACAATTGCGGAAACTGGAACCCAAGCCGGCTTCGATTGGACGATTGTCTTGGGGATTCTGGAGGTATGTGGTTCAAGATACTACTTTATCTGTTTTGACTGACATGATTACGGTAGGACGTTTTCAATGGGGTGGAAGGGAGTTCACTAATCGTGCCCAAGACATCAGATTCAATCCCGAAGAAGGTGGTAGTCGCGTCCCTGTTCTTCGAGCCCGACTTCTGGACGACAGCAACCGGCCCTTGGAAGGAGATGTGAATTTGGCTGAACGGATTAATAATCGCGGAGGAAGTCTGCAGTTCAATTGGTAGGTTATTGACTTTATAAATGAGACCTAAATATAGCCCGAAATACCTAACAATCCAATGAATAGATTTCCATCTGAGCTCTTCCCATAGAGCCAAGGAAAAAGGTGGTATGGTTGAAATAATTTCGCTCTTCCCAGCTCTTGGGCCTCTAGCTATGAGTGAGGGCTTTAACTGGTGGACCGGACGGAGCCTATCTTTATGAATCAACTGCGTTATTCTTGTTAGTTTCGAAAGGTGTGGATCTACCTTATCCAAAAAAAAGGGAGGAATTGGAAGGGAATGAGAGGCGGAAAGAAAATAGGAGTAAATATCTCATGCTTGATTTATGTCGCTAACCAGGTCAATACTCAAATATTCATGTTTATTTTTATTTTTATTTTTTATTTTTGAAATCCACCACTATGTAGATAGAGAGATCATGAAATGGGTATGTATTGTGTATGATGATGATGTTGTACAGTAAGTATAGGAAAAGGATACTAGCTAGTAGTACTATCGGATGATGACCATGTGATATGTGAAGTATCAAACATTTTTAATTATTGTATATATTAAGCTTAGTCATTATTGTCTGCACAAATTATTAAATAGTGGCATTTTTCATTTTAGTTAGAGTCATATATCTATTATCTATACCATACCTTGCTATACACGAGGTTTCTGTCAGTTAATATAGGCGCGGTCGAATTCAGCATCACCACCTTATACTCTTCTTGTTCTTTCTAGATCTCAATTTTGAAACACACTACTAGTATTTCTCGGGGGTGTTTCAGATAGGAAACTAAACCTGTGTACCTTGCTAGTGCCACTCACTTAGCGCTCCTCAAAATCACCTGCATGACATTTCCCTAGCGCCGATTTACCCCCATTGCCCTACTTTATTTTTCAGCCAATAGTATGACCGGACTCAAAAGAAGCAATAATAGATCTGGACCTTCTAATCTATAAAATATCGCGATCAGCAAGGATAGTCGCAATCATTATTGTATCCTAGTTCAAAGTAACCCACTTCATCTACTCAATCCGTATAGCGGGGTACATAGTGTGAAAGCAGGTGATCGTCACAACTAAAATGCGCGCGCGAAAAGGTACATAGAAGAGGAAAAATAAGTCAGATTCAGTCCGTTCCTAGTCAACGATAATGCGCTGTAAGTTCATTCGATATCCTAAGGATCGCGCAAGGCGCGCATAGCGCGCAGTGTAATACCTAACCTCGGAATCGGGATTACTTTCTAGTTAGCAAAATCTACAGCCCTAGAGTTCTTAATGAAAACAAGTTTAAGCCACAAGCCAGTTTATTTATCATCTCTTATAGGTAGGGCCTAACGACTTATGATTCTTTTTTTAGGAACCCTTGGCAGTGTCTGTCCTATCAACCTTGATGCGTTGGCGCGGGCTTTAGCACCTGCATTGATAGGATTATCTTTTAGATAAAATTGTAAAGAGGTATGTAGTTCATGCAGGGATGTTGAAAAACTGTCAGATTGACATCTTACAAGGCTGTTCACATGCAGATATCCATAACTTGTACTGAACCCTCAGTAGCCTTAGCGAAACATTAGGCCAGTCATATGGCTTGATTCTGGCTATAATCAAAGCACCTTCTTTATATAGAAAGTCTAATCGAGTTTTGCAGTTTACTGCCTACTCTAAATCACCTCTTGAGGCTAGAGGAAGCTGCACGCGTACTAAAGGCATTTTTCCAAGAACAGAACAGCAAGCAATACATTTCATCCAATAATCCTCCCGCATGGACTAAAATACTTATTTACAGCGCATCATACCACCGTCCCAGGCGTAAAAATTGATACACGCACCCTGTTCAACCGAAAACGTTCGTTGAAGTGAAGAAGAAGCCATTGATATGGGGCGGTCCGAAATCAAAAATTGTGATTTCATATATAGTTCGGGAACATTAGCATGAATACTGGGAAAATGTGACTAGGCGTCGAGAGAATTTCACTAGAAAAAGATGATCAAAGAGAAATTTATACCCTTGGGAAGTGTTACCAAACTTTCTTAATTTGATGTTATGAATCATTTCGCTTAAAGCTAGTGAGGATTCCTTGGCCAAATATAGGATATTCTCCTGGGCAGCAGCTTCTATCATTTGCTTGATTCCAAAGGGACTTTGACTGAGAAACCCTAAAAGTATTCTTTTTTATTGGGATTTACACGAGAGTATCAAATCAGAAAACACAAGGTACACTTGAGGGATACGATTACCAATCCAATTACAGTATGGTTTTGGATAGGAGAAGTTCGATTTGTTGAGGAGATAGTAGTACTTTTGGGGAAACTAAAGACAACAGGCCAATTTTCGTAGTAGAAATTTCAATGAGCAAAAGCAACTGGTAGCCTGTCAAATCCCTGTCGGGACAGATAGCTTACCCCATCAACTTTCAGGCCTTGTTCATTCAACAGTGTGATGGTGTCGCCGAGGTTTGAGAGATGAACGTCCGGGATCTCAAACGCTTGCGTTGACTTAGCATCCAAAACTGCATTACGCGGCAGTGTTTGAGATTCACCCGCTGAATTTTTGATTTTCCAGGAAGCCAAGGAAATCCTGTGGTCTTTCGGATTTGTGAGAATAACCGACCTCCGCCTAGCTCTAGGATCGTTTGACTCGGGTCTCATCAATGCCTCGTTAATTATCACAGAGTCCTCGGTCAAGTCGGCACCTCTCTTCTTTCTCCCTAGATAGTCTCCCCAGGTTTCTGATGATATGGCATGCCCTGTCTTATTGTCGGTGTGCACAGCTTGTGACGCGAATCCTATAAATACCCCAACCCATCGACCAGAGAGTGGGTAGTTGATCAAAAGGCCACCGTCTTGGAACACACCATCATCATTTGCAAATTTTTCAACATTGCCTTGATTCATATGCACATTGTGAATACCTTTTCGATCACCGAACGGTTCTCCAAATAGATAAATATCGGCCTTCGAGTCAATCGCTTGTTTGACTTCAGGTTCCAAGACATCAATCATATCATTGTTCGAACCTGGTACATCATGGGGTAGGATGCGACCGGTTTTGAGATTGAATAAGTTACTGCGGATGTAGTCTAGTCTCAAGCCAACAGGATTTGGCTCCGTTTTTTCAAGGGGATGAAACCCCGGGGATAGGTCGATGAGACTATTGACGATCGGATGATTTTTGTAATCGTGATTCACCCAGTAGGCGAGTCGCGATTCTTTCTTGTCACCAGACTTGATGTTGATTGCTGCTCTGAAGAGCCCGGGAATTTCTTTGTTTCCTTTGCCGGCTCGGCGAGACTTGTGGCCAGAATGGTGAGTCAGCCCTCCTTTATCACGGAAGTAAAGTGATAAATGCGGACTTTTATTGTCATCCTCTTCGTATTCAACGATGTAGGATACAGGGGTTGCTTTCCAGAGACCATAATTACGAAGCGGCATATTGAGGAAGATAGGTTAAAATAATCATCCAAGAAAGTGAATTACTAGAATTGTAGAATTTAGAAGTGAGTTTGGGAGCGGGGGGTAATGTAGATACTTATAACTAGTCGGAGCGTAATGACAAGGCATGTCACATGAATTGCCACACGAGGCCTAGATTGCCTTTGCTCGAACGAAAACAGCCTAGACTGTGCACGAGGGATAGCTGATCACTGTGATCCGAGGGTCAAATATCAAACATGCCTCTTGGCCATAAATTACCCCAACTTAGTAAAATTCGTGTATACAACTCTCTGACTTGTACAACGTTCCAAGGTTGATCAATGAGATAACTTCTTAGTAAACAGTCTAATTTCAAACAGTGTATCATATTTGAGTGGTTCGACCGTTAAACAACGATATCCAGTTTGAATAGCCCAATCCCCATATCTGCATGTCATCATTACCTAAATACGATCACAGCGTAAATAAAAGCGTAAATAAGCAAAGAATTTGCCACTAAGCTGAGATATTTCACACCATATATAGGCGATAATCCAAGTGTTTTTCTTTAGCAAACTCTTAGCGGGATTTCCGAATATCACAATATCGAAACGTCAAATTATTTTGACCATGTCTTTCCACCACAGTGCATGTGATATCCATCTGAGAGGCGAGCCCAATTGCACTTTTTTGTGTGCGATTTGCAACAATGATGAGGGTAGCGGTCTTACTGACTATATCCCTCTCGATGAATATCTAGGAAATGAAAATGGTGAGACACTTTGGTTGCAAATCATATTATACTTAACCAACCGTCTTTCTTTAGGCCATCTCAGTTGGGGTGGGAAAAATTTCAGTCACGATGCACGGAGTATCACCCTTGTAGCCCAGGGACCAGATAAGACGCCCATCCTTCGTTCTAATCTCCGGGACTCGTCTGGTAATTTTGTACCCAGCGAAATTGACCTGGCTACGCATATCGCCAACATCGACGGCCAGCTTGTTTACTTGTGCTAAATGTCCAATTGAAATTATCGTGGTTAATTAGCTGACAATCTTCTGTCATTCTTTATATATATCAAAAGCCAATCAAATCATCATTTAGCTAGTTTTATAATATCTAGACTCTAGTAAGGATTGAAATAGTTTAGCCAAGGCTTTTTTTTATATACAAATATTGGACTAGTAAAAAATTAAAACTAACGTGTAGTGATAGAAAAAGACCCGACATCTCGTGGCGCGTGGTGGAAGGACTGCAAGTCAGCCAGGCACTCTACAGGAAAAAGATGTTAGCTTGTCTGAAAAAAAAAGACCGGAGCGAGGATCAGTACAAGAGTATGAAGAACCAGTGGCCCACTATAGGCTGATTGCCTCTGCAAAATAGGCAGTGAAAGATGGTAGACTGCGAGACCAGCTGGCTCGAGACCTAGGTGTTCTTTGTGTGGAAATGGAAGCTGCAGGGCCCATGAATGACTTTCCATGTCTAGTTATTCGAGGTATTTGTGACTATGCCGGCTCCCAGAAGAATAAGGAATGGCAAGGCTTCAGATGTCTTCTAGACGCAGATTTGTCCTAGTAGGTAAACCATTTCAAGGGCCACCACCACCCCAACTCTAAATTAAACAGTCAACCTTAATGAGGATACTAGGTCTATACCCAGAAAAACTCACTCTCAAAGCGGTATTGTCAAAGAAAAAAAGCTCTGACGGTGTAGCAAAGATGATATACAGTAGTTTTCGAATTCAGTTTGAACGCTCACTCTTTACTTGATTCGAGTAAAACTAAATCCGGAATAAGCAAATCCTATTTAGGGTCACCGCTCTATTAGTTGGGCAGAACTACACGGTATACGCCACGCGTGCCAAGTTCCAGATTATAAATAGATAACACCATCCGAATGATAGATTAATAGGGATAATAGGAATAGCTGTTTGCAGCTGCTGACTAATAGTCAACCGTAGTTAAGGATACGAGGATTGTTCTAGACATCACCATAGGCATAATCTAGCCGTGATCCCGAATACCTTCGATAATAATGACGGAACCATTTCCTGCCGTAACAGCGTCTGACGTAGTAGGTTGACTGCTAGATTGGTGATGATGCTATGACCTAAAGCTAAGTTCCGCTGGTTATCAATATTAATAGCCTTCTGCTCTCCCACAACTACTCTTAACAACTATTTAGAAATCGTTTCCCACATACTACAGGTCACATCTGTCTGTTTACTATTGTGGAAGCTGCGCTTGTCCTAAGTTTGGCGCCGTGCTTGTTCTCCTCTTTCTGCTATTCTTGTTCTCCTCTTATGAGCTCTTGCTCAATCTGCCATGGCAGACCCTATTACTTGGGGCACAGTGGGGTTGGCAATTGGAAAAGCAGCGCTTGCATGGGCTGGTTCGAAGATCGTGGACGGCATATTTGGGCATGATGGTCCAGATCCTGTCGAGCTTCAGGAGAGGTCGATCAAACAAATAGCGCTTGTTTTCCAAAAAGCTCTTGAAGCTGAGCGACTTCAAGAGGCCTCCGATAAACTAGAAAGTCTGATCTACAACGTGGCGGAATACAATAACGCACCTTCGACAAGTTTCTACCGGTTGGTGGATGCCACAACAGACTCACTGGACCTACTTTCTACACTTGCCGGCCTGCAATACCTTGGACTACCTGCTTATCTCGTTGCAGCGAGCATGAGAATAGTTGTTCTTCAAGAGCTACTATTAGCGAAAGGAGACAGTGGGGAATTCCTCAACATCATTGGCCACATCAGTCGTTCTATTGATGAATGCGATACTGCATTGGCAAAAGGCTTCGATATGTTTAACGCGCTTGGGGCTGGGAGTGCTCCGACACGAACACCTTTCGGTTGGTTTTGGATATTTAACGGGGTTCAGCAGAGGTATCAAGGGTCGGAAGCAGAAGTACGTGAAAAGATCACAAAATACAGCTTAGCTTTTAAAGAGAAGGAGATGGATCCGATCGAAGACTTATACAAAAAGATGCGCCAGGAATGGGTAGCCATTCGCGAAGGTGCATTAGAACGAGCAAAAGCTGCCGGTCTCAGGGTGCCGCGGGGATTTCAAGCTGTGTTTACCGAAGGGGACCCTGGCACAGCCATCGGCGGCTATGTTTTTGCCGAAGGTTTTCCTGGAAGCGGTATCGCCGGCTTTGACCTTCTATCTCCAGATGACCGCGCGTTTGCTTTTGACTATGATCACAGTGGGAAGCGCGACCACGCGGCCTTCTACCGGCCAGGAAAGGGCGCTTTCTGGATTGCCAAAAACAATGGGGGTAAATTCTTACCTGTTTACGCCCAAGGGCAGGGTGGCAACGGCATCGGTGGCTATGACCTTCTTTCGCTCGCAGACCGCTCATTTGCTTTCGACTATGATCATAGTGGGAAACTTGATCATGTGGTGTTATATCGGCCAGGAACCGGCATTTTCTGGATTGTCAAAAACGACGGGGGTACATTCTTACCCGTCTTCATAAGGGCTCCTCACGAACACATCGCCGGCTTTGACCTTCTATCTCCAGATGACCGCGCGTTTGCT